GACTGGAAGCCTCATCAAGTTGTGCTGAACCAGCTGGCACTGACCAGTGTTTCAATCACAGAGTCCTTTTCCCTCAGCTGTCCCTGCAGCAGCTCATGCTTGCTTTTCCATTCCTCCAGCTCCTCTCTCAGCTTGCTCACTTCTTCTGTCTGAATGCCGTTCATCTGGAACGTGTCGCTGTGCGAGTTATGGTGCTGAGTGTCCTTCCCTGCAGGACAGAGTTTATAACAAAGGTCAGACACCAACATCGACTTGAAGTTAGCTTCAAACACACTAATTTAGGTATTTATTGACCTTCTTCCTCCCACCCTGCAGGGCAATACAAGCCATTCTAACTGCAGAACCAAAGCAAAGTGTCTAAAAATGTATTTGAAGTTGAATAAAGAGCGTTGATTTACCACTCCAAGTATGTACTTGTGGCTGCACCTATGTGCTGCTTTAGTCATTCAATACAGCCAAGTCAGTTCAGACAGATCTCTACAGAATAAGGACAATTGTTTCCTCACGCCACTCCAAGTATGTACTTGTGGCTGCACCTACGTGCTGCTTTAGTCATTCAGTACAGCCAAGTCAGTTCACAGACAGATCTCTACAGAATGACAATTGTTTCCTCACCTATTTTTTATCAAATAATCCTGAAGGTAGAATTACTTATTGAAATCACACCATAACCTGAACATACTGTCCTGGTTTAAGCCACCCTCCCTATGCTTTTTTCTGTGTTTTCAAGGCACTTAAAGCAAAACCTAATATTTTTAGATAATTAAGCCAATCTGATGCTTCAACTAAATTGTTTGCCATGCTCACATCACCCTGCAAAGTGTTTTATCTCTATGGGAAGCTATCGCATGCTGCAGAACACACAGCAGCGTGCCTGAGGTGACAGAAGGCTGAGGGCTGTCCCTGCTGGAGCTGATCTGGTGCTGGCCATAAACGACACAGGATCCTTAGCACCAGGGAGATTATTTCTTCTTATTCTTTTGGAAGCCTACCTAGCTGTACTTTAAGGAGATTATACTGGTCCTTGTGCTGTTGGATCTGCGACACTTGCTGGGTGACTGTTGTTTGGAGCTGTTCATTTTGAGATTTTAAAGTGTTAATTTGTTGTTTTAATTCTTCAAGCTCCCGGTCCTGTGAAATGAAAAAAGGCATTTATAGTAGTAACACTTTTGAATACAATACTTTGAATACAGTAATGTTAGGAAGGAAAATAAAGACAGTAAAACCTTTACTCCACCAGTATGTGCCACCGGTTCATGGCATTGCCCATGCTACCTGTGGGAGATGAGCAGAAAATCCACACACCTGCTTCAGTTGCCCATTAGCTATGGAAGTTAATTAGCTTTGCCCCTCAACTTCTCAATCCAAGCTGTGGCAACAAGTGAACTGCTGGAAAAACAGTTTGAGTCCACCCACAGCAGCACACCCAATCTTCACTTCTTCATTCAGCCACATTTCATCTGCATCTTTTCAAAGGTGAAAGCACAGGACCAAGAACTACACCTTTTTTGTAAGGCTGCAAGTACTGCAGTTCCTCATGTGAAAAGGAGCCCTTGAACACAGGAAAGAGAAGACAGAGCCCAGGAAAAGAACTAAACTTAACCAGTATTGTAACCAGTGGCACTTCAGCTGCGCCAGAAAGTCTTGGCCTAAGTGTTTTCAGACTTGTTTGTGCATTGCCAGAGTCCTTGCTACTTGTTTTGGAACACGGGGTATCCAACTGCACTGCAGTGCCTCCAAAAGCCAAACATCTGAGGCACAGGTTACAGCCTAACTCCCTCTTACCTGCTCTCTGATGACTTTCTTGTAGTGAGTCACGATGTTGTCATGCTGCTCCAATGTCTTCTTGACCTCCTCCTCCTTCTTATCCTCCTCACTGGACTTGTAGATGGCTTTACTTATGACACCTGTCAAGAACAGTTTGTCAGCTGAAGCCCAGTTCACCTCAGCTCTTTCGTCCTCAAAGTATTCCCTCAGTTAATTGAGGTCATGGCATTAGAAATTCAGCCTGTGCTTTTTAAAAAGCAGCTGTCACAAAGAGGGCTTTTAATAGGAAGGTTTGCACATATGCTTTACACAAATGGGTGCTTTGAGTCCTCTCTCAGAAAAGGTGTTCTACTTGCACTAGGGCTCCACTACAGCTGTTGCCCAAAAAAATGGCTGTGCAAGTAAAACACTTGGGACAGCAAAGGCAATAGACACATGAAATGTGACTGGGCAAAACCATCTTTACTCTTGCTGCTTCAAGGCTTTTTCTCCAGGCTGATTTAAGTCGGGCAATATTAATAAACAGCACATGAATTAGATGTTAAGGATGATGACAACCTGTCTTTTGTGAAGGACAGAAAACACTTAAGTCCTTATTTTCTAACAAGCCAGGAAATTCAGCATTCATCACTTATTAATGAATCAGAAACAGGAAATACCTAGGCTGTGGACTTCCACAACTCAATCTCTATAACATCACACGTGCTGAATACTTCAGTCTCTACATGAGCACAGGTACCTACACCTCCTGGACACTGTGATAACTCACAGCACATATTAGGAATCAATTCACTTAAGACTATCGAGTTATCCAGGTAGTACAGGCCCAAATGATGGGCTTTTACTGGGTGTATTTTTACTAAATACTTGAACTGTGAGTTTGGGTATGTGGTCACTTGAGTATTCTGAAAACCATGTTATGGTAATAGCTCTATTTTCATATTATCACTCTGCTTTTAATGGCATCACATGCAGCACATTTGGTAGTTCAGTCATCAGTTCATCACAAAAGTTACAGAAACTGACACAACATCTCACCTTCCAATTCCTTCACAAGCTTGGTAAATTCGTGATCAAACATCATGTGGTCTGGGCTGGAAAAACTGGGCTGTGGTTTCTGAGCAGCTCGGGAATAAAGTTCGTGTTTGCTGATGAAGCCAAGCTTCTCAATGAAGTTCTCCCTGCCAATCCTCTTCTCGATCAGCTGCTTCAGCTTCTCTCTGCAAGGAGATGACAAATCAATCTCAGTGCAACCACTGAACAGAAACCAACCCCTTCTTCCCTCCACTTACAACTGCAATCATCTGCCTCAAGTCTTAACCTCTCCAGATGCTTCACCTGCCTAACAGGCAGGTCAGTTACTTTATGCCCCCCGTAAGGGACATCATAGGAAACATTCAACCAAATATTCCCAACTGCAGCGCCTCTGCTAAAGCCTCTTATC